GCTGTCGAAACGTGTATGTGTTTCTCAATGAAAAAAATGCTCCTTTGGGCTTTCAGAATTTTTTTTAATTATTATTATTTTTTGATGTGGAAAATTATTCTGGCATCGGCTGCGTATTTTTTTAATTCATGTGTTGCAAGGATTTATAAATAACTCTATACTATAAAGTATATCGAAAAGATGTTTCAAATAATTACATATTTTTAAGAAGTACATTTATCGCTTTTAGATTCATTAAGCTCGATATATATTATTTCAAGACTTCCTGTCTCGCTTGGTAACAGAATAAGAATTAGGTAGGCGACGAGTAACGGAAAAGATAAATGTAAGATCTTATTTCTTGTGGAATGGTATGGATGATAAATTGTCCTAGTAGGGTAGCTTAAGTAACATTATAACAACTGAAGTTTATTTTTATAGCTATTATTTAACTTAGTATTGTACCTATCTACACAACTACACTATTTAGCTAAACTAGCATATTTGTACCATACGGCCAGCTTATCAGAGTTACCTCTACTGGATGGAAAGTTATTGCCATTCTAAATGCTTATTGTGGCTACAAGATAAAAATAAAAAGATAAATATTATCATAAAACGTGAACACCACGTAAAAAAACATTCGTCACCACGATTTGTAGAACAGCAAATAAAAAAATGCAAAAAAAAAAAAAAAAGTTTATTTCACCTACTCATTAAAGCAACCAGCTGATAATCTATTACTGTGTAGGGCGCACAGAATATCATGCCCTTTGTTTTGTTTATTACAAGTTTATTTACTTTCAAGATTTTACAAAATAAATGCATGGCTAACGGTGTGATCAAGGAAAGTACGTTTGCAGAATATGTTCAACGGATTTTGTTTCGCAACCTTTTGCGAGCGAACCTTTGCATTTGTCCTAACACCTCGGTATATAAACGTCTTCCGAAATTAACGGCAACATTTGCACCATAAGAGCCTTCAGCTGCGCTACACTTCCAGGCTTCCTTGGGAATATCTTATCTTCCTATAAAATTACATAAAAAACGTATAAATCCGGTTTCTTTCCTCAATTAACTATATATTTTCTTTTAAGAAATAAACTTGGAAATGCTACAGCGTTGGCATTATTTGCTGACGTCAGCGTTCTACTTAGTTTAATTTGAAGAGGTGTTCTCTTTATAGCAGTGGTTTCAGACTGCTATAAAGATTTTTGTCGGTTACACTTTGTAATTCAAACATAGTGACAACGAAATATTGAACTTTTAGATTAACATTTATTTCAAATAATTTTATATATTAAATTAATCATTAGACAGTTTACTTTAAATTGAACTAAAAAAGATAAATTCGGAAAACTTTTTAAGTTTTCAGAGATAACATTATAAGCGGGAAAAAATTTTAGAATACATAATGACAACCTTGTCTCCTTTTTTTATTCTTTAAACAATTCTTTGCTAGTAAATAAAAATACATACGTTTGTACATAAATAATTATGAAGTTCATAATTTCTTACTCTACAGTTTGATATTTTGATGTCGTTTCGATTCTGTAAAAGCTCGCAGCTTTGCATGAAAATAAACAGAAATTATATAGTGCTCATTAGTCAATCGGATTTTTTATTATTAATTTTTAATTGCGAAAAAAAAGCTGTTTCTTAAACATAGCCATTATTCTTCGAGAAAAAATTCGCAACTGAGCGTATTTATCTTTAGACAAGTACGCATAAAAAATAATCAAATCTTTCTTCTTTGAATAAGATTTATATTACACTGTAAATTAATTAGCTTCATTTATAGATTTTCTGTCATACACGTTCGTTTTTTAATGGTAGTGAAAATAATGTTATAAGGTATTTTCTCTTCTTTTATGCATGCCTTTGTGATGTAACGGTAGTACACTCGGCGCGTATTCGAGAGTTTAAGGCTCGAGTCCCGGCAAGGGCTTTGCTCATTTTTCATGTCTCCTACCTCAAAAATCCTAATAACTCTACAGTCCAAACTCGTTTTCAGGTAACGTGCAAATTAAATCAGGTAACTGTACATAAATGAATTAAGTTAATTTCATAACCAGGCTGTATAAAATATGAATAATGAAACGGTCAATCGGTACAAATGTTTATAAGGTTAATTATCACTATAAAAGAAACTAATTCTATGGGAGTTTTCCTAAACTTAACTTCAGTTCTTTTAATTTCTAATGGTGTATGAGGCATACAATTAATTAGAAAAATAGTCACTGACAGTGCAATTACAGCGGCTCAAGAGAAAATGATTTCGCACATTACTTATTTAAATAAATTTTTAATGTAAAAAAAAATACTATGGATTAAACATTTAAAAAAAATTGTAGAAAGGAAAACTGAGGAAATGCTAATTTATCTTTTAAGACTGATTATGACACGTTCTTAAAGAGTAAAGACTTTTTTTTTTTTTTTAGTTATACACAAGCATTTTTATGCCTGTCAGAAGCTCGCCATCAGGTGCACTAAGAACGAAAAAATAGAAGAAAAAATGTGCCCTAGACATGTTCAAAATTATTGTATAATTTTGCCAGTTTAATAGTTAATGTAATGTTTCTGGTTCACAACACTGTCAAATATTTAGTCAAAGCATTAGGAAAAAACAACAGAAATTCATTAAAAGTAAATTAAACACTCAATAAATATACTTTTATATGGTAAAACAAAGGAAAAGAAAAGAAAAAAAATTGAAGTCGTAATTAATACATTTCATTCTCATATGTTCTTGAGTAATCTTTTAGAACTTTTTAGCGAAATTAAAAAAAAAAAAAAAAAAAAAAAAAAAGATAACAACAAAATAAATATGTTTAAAGTGACATGAAAGGATTTATATATATCTTCAATAATGATTCTTTTAAAAACGATCTTCAGCAAACTTCTTTAATTTCATGCAAAAAATATAATGATAACGTAAACTTTATTCGCACTTAAGATTTTGCGAAACGTTTTCTGGAAATCAAATTTCCTATCTCTATTAACGAAAGAAATAATTGAATGAGACAAATTTCTTTTTAACTTAATAAACTGTGAAAAATCGGTAGGAATTTTAAATAATTTCGAATACTTTTTTCATTTTTGAAACACATTCTATATTCAATTGTAACCAACAGATGGCAGCACAAACAAGTACTAGACAACTTTCCGTGTTCTTCAACAATTAGATTTCATTTTTCACGGAAATTTATGCTAACATGTAACATTGCGTTGGATGTGTTGCTGTGCATATTTAATAATGGAAAGAGTTAGGGGTTGCAATCTAATTAATTTCTCGAGAGATTAATTGCAACGGAAATATAAATGAGCTAAAATTAAAGAAAATATTAAAAGGAAACTGAAAATATAGTAAATATGAAGGAAGCTGCTGGTTCAGAATCTTTTCTTCTTTCACGTTTCCTATAATAAACTAGATGAAATTTCTTCATCATTGTTTAACTAAGCATCATTATAAAATTTAAATAAAAAAAAGAATTATAAGTAATTTTGTTAAAGTACAAAATGTTTTCGATATTTTTCAGAAACATGTAATTTAATAGTTTACACTCGGTTTTTATTTTTAAAATGCATTATATATAATGCTATATTTTCAATAATCATACAGTTACTACTTATTTTTAAATACATGAAAAACATGAGAGACAATGAATAATTTAAAATTTTCGGAGTTAATGTCATTTTTACGTATTTAATAAAAACACTACACAGAAGGCACAAATTTTCCATAAATTTAATTTCTAAACTGCTTTTCCCCCCTCCTCTACAAAGATCATCAAAGACCTTACTTATACTTGTGATGAATTTAACATGTTCCTTGGCAAATTAATTGCAAAGCTTCACATTAATACATGGAAATCACATTTTTCCAAACAAAGGTGTTTTAAAAATAAATCTTTTGTAGATCCATACTTGCTTTGATTATTATGAAGCATATATTATCTCCTAAAAAATCAATAAATTTCTGATTTTTAAAAAATTATACATGCAATAAAGCTAAAATATTAGGGGCAATCCATTTTAATTGAAACTTAATCGTAAACCTCTTACACGCAAAAAGTAAACTCTCAGTTAAAACATAGCAAATTAATGAAATTATTACATTAATTACCAATGCGAGATGCCTGAAATTTGGAAACATGGTGCCCGGAAAAATCTCATCAACTCATATGAACATAATTTTCATATAAAAAAAGATGAAATAATTAAATATTAGTAAATATTTTACAGCACAGCGATTTATTTCCAGTAGAAAACTCAAGAAACCTTTTTAAAATCATATCATATTACAATACCTCTAGAGTTTGAATAGACCTTATAGTTCAGTAGTTCTAAACCATTTTTTTTCTCCCTGAAGCCCTTTTAACACTGCTAGACGATAACCAGCCCATTTTTAAAAATTCGAAACATACTCATCATACATTTATTCAAATTTACATTATTTTTAACGTGTTTTTATGAATTAAACAGAAAAAAATATAGAAAATGCTGATAAATACCAAAATTTGAATAACAGTAATTTTTTTAATTTATAACTTACAACTAAATACTTAACAATTAAATAAATAATAAGTTGACCAGAATCCCCCGCTGAAACTATTAAATTCCCTAGTTGAGAACACTTATTATAGTTTTGTTTAATAAAATCGCAATATAACGGCACTCGTAGTTAAGCAGAATACTGAATAATAATACTGAACAATAAAAACGCGGAGAAATTTTTATTTCAACAAAGCAAACAACAGGAAAAAAAAAGGACTCGCGTAACAAACATAATAACAAACCAAAACACCATTTCGCGAAGGGGGGGAAGAAGAAAAAGAAAACATACAATTTAACGTTTCGCAAATGGAAATAAAGAAAACAGAAGATATTATCTGCAAAATAATTATACCTATTTTAAAAACTCGCTAGAGAGAAAAATAAGTATTTTTTTGGTAATTTAAACAATCCTCAGATAAAGATAATATTCAAAAAATACAAAGCTATGTCTTAATAACACTTACTTGATTTGGAGTCGTTGGTTCGTTATTATTTTCGCTAACACTCTCTTCTTTTTCATGCCCGCCCAATCCTTCGAAAATATGATTGCCATTTGTAAGCATGGGTTCCAGTTTTCCATATTGTTCCGTGTTGTTGCGTATATCATCTTCACCTTCTTTTTGATCTTCTTCGGTTTGCGAATTCGGAGCCACAGCTTCAGGCAGCATATCGGAAACTTGTGTGAAGGTGAGCTTGTCTACACTGCCTTTAATGTTGGTCTGTAAGAAAACCACATTTACAGGTAAGAAAACAATCACAGCATAGGAATAACGAACAACTTATCTCAGGGGTTTTCAACCAAAAAGGGAAGGGGGGTAGAATTTCATAGATTCACGTTGGGGAGGGAGGAATGCAGTCAGCCTTTTATTTATTTGCTAAATATTTAGTTTTAGTTTATAAATATAATAAAAAAATACTTTTATTCAAGTTTTGATATTTTTACCAAAATTTTTTCTCGCTGTTGTTTCGTTTTTGTTGTCTAGGTATATGTAATTCAATACATATCTACGTATAATCTGTGTATATACATTTTTCGAGTTTTGGAAAAGAGAGGGTGGCATGGTCTTCCAACAGTGGTGAAAAGGGGCATGGGGCAAAAACGGTTGAGAACCACTGGCTTATCTGATCCGCAACACTTCAATCGAATATCTGATCTGAATTATGGCTAACACCTAGTTGAGGCTAATACATTAGCCTAGTTTTTTAAAGTGGACCAAGAGGATTTCAGGCTGAATATTTGTTATTCATCAACTCATGAAATTTTTTTATTAATACAAATTTATCATTCGCAACAATAAAAAGAATAAAAATTAAGAATTTTACTATGATTGCTATTAAATTTAATGATAAGAGCAATATACAGATGTACGGTCAGGATCATTTTAAAAATTCTGTTAGTCACCAGCGTCAATCATAACAAATGAACAAATGAGAATCCATATATTTTTCCAAAGTTTTTGCTATTTAGACACATTTTAGATATTAAAATTCTTTTAGATCTACATTATTTAGATATAAATTTAGTCAAAATGTTCGGAAGAAGTTCTTATGAATGACCCATGTTCATATATAACCATATATTAGGTATTTCCGCTATTATTAAATATACCTAATGCATGGTTAAAATCTTTCATTGATAATACTGGTTTTGTTACAGAAAAGATACTTTCTTAAAAGTAAATAAAAACTTCGCATGGCTTACACACGCTGCTTTTTAAGTAAAGATACTTTCTTAGAAGTAGATTAAAAACTTCGCATGGCTTACACACAGTGCCTTTTAAGTAAGAGTTCGTTTAAAGACTATCATCTACGTCTCTTTTTAGCAATATAAATTACTATATAAATGATTATTTACATAAATAAAAGTTCTAGGAACTCAAAGCTTTACAGACAATGGCCATAGATTTCTTGGATTTATTATCTTTGTTAAATAATGTAACTAATAATTATATAATGAATGAGCAGTAACTAATATAACTAAGCAGTCAAGAAAAAGCTTCATTCATCTGCTAGTTGCTAATTTAAACAATAAGCATAACTATGTGAAGACATAAGCGTTTTAAAGGAAAGGAAGACGAAAAGGACGAAAGAAGTTATTCTTTAACACACCGTGGCTCGGCGCAGACTGTCGACAGGCAGCGTGAGACACTTAAAATGTTTCTGTTTTCAAGCCAAGGAGACGAGGATTCGAATTTTGGAAGCCGAAAGTGCAGGTTGTGCGTTTTAGAGCACTTATTGCGACCTCATGTTCTGCGATAGTGAGGTTTCTTGACTGTTATCTGGGGACATTTGTTTACACGGGTCATCTAAGGACATTTGTTCATCCGAGGACATTTGTTCTTACGGCTACCGGATCTTGGAAGACAACTGGCAGAACTTATGAAACAAGGATTTTTATGTGTTAAATGACTCACAATATGGAAAAACTTCGTGCGAAGTTCGTTAAATGTTTTCGAATTGCTTGGGCAATTTTCTTATCGTGTTAGAGCGAAACAGTGTTAGAGGAAAACCGTGTTGTAGGAGGGTTCTCGCAATTTATGAATCTTGTTACAACAAAACCGTGTTATAGGATGCCGTATAGTAGGAGGGTTACCTGTATATAACAGCGGTACCTGTACAAATATCTTATTATTTTTGTGTGCTTCACCGTTAATCCATATTAGTGAGTAAACGTGATAAAAGTCGTTATAATTACTATTTTTATAACTACTTATAAATCTGTAGAAACGTTAATGTATTTACACCGTGGCAAGTTTTGTATTTCAACATCGGCAATACAGTATTCAGTATTGAAAATATGGATTTACGTATTTTTCTACCAGCTAATCATTACCTATGTGTTTAATATGCCAAAATGCGTTTCAGATGAAGTCACGAAACCTTTTAGTCTACAATAGTATTTGAATAAAATACATGCCGATAAAAAGAACAAAGATTTATTCTGTTTTCAGAGGTTGGAAAAGAAATATTTTAAACAGCAAACTATATCAAACCTTTTCGCATCGTGTTCTAGCAAAGATGATGATAGACTACGAGCCTCATATTTTGTTGTTAATTCCAAGAAAGGTAAAAATGCACACAACTGACGAGCTTCATCATATGACACCGTCAGATAACATCAGAAACATTTCTCTGAATAATAATTCGAAACAAAAAAGAACAGATGGAGTGGCCAAGACGTTGAAATAACATTATGCGATTACTTGCAATTTTCCCATTTAACTCGATGAATAACTGTACTAAATAGCGAAGTATTACTTTTATCATACGCTGTGTTCATAAAAGAAGAAAACATTTGTCAAAAGTTATTATTTGCTAAAAATTTGGAAACGAATACAAAGAGAGAATCCTTGTTTATACATAAGCGCAGCGGCTAGCGCATTGCGCAGTAGCATCGACGCTTGAGGTGGGCAAGGTTGACTCAGGCTTTCATTCTTTGAGAGGGGTTGATAAAATGAGCACAAAGTTCGCTTGGGGACTAAATACCAAGGATCCTACAGGAGAAGCACCAGAACTTTGCATACGCTCACAACAGGTATTACTCCGTCGCACTACTGTACAAGTCCAAAAACACCGCACAAGACCTAAAGTAGCGAATGATCGCTACCCAAATCTCCAGGACCGACCCTTCCGGTGGGTATCGGGTCCTTCATCCGTTGGTTTAGCATTTATTAATTTTGTACAAAAAATTTACTATTGAGACCATTTACAGTGGTGTATATAATATCGCTTGCAATAATTTTGTTAATATAGTCCAAATATGGTGTACATCTAGCTTAGAAATTCATAAATAAGGAATAAAATTAAATAATACAAGCTGACCACTTGTCCAGGGTATATGCTCATGGATAACGGTGCCAACGGTCAAAAAAGTAGATGTCAGAGCACTGCAGGCCATGGCTCACTAAGGGCTGTTGCACCATTGAGTTTAGTTTAGTTTAGTAGTTTCAAATATTTAATAAAGCCAGTTTAGAACTGCAAGGTGATCAGTTGAATTTAATTAAAAAAAGTCGTAACCACTTTCGACAGAAAACAACTACTGTTCCGAAGAAATCTACCTACAGGAGAATACAATCATTTACATATATTATCAACATCCTTTGCAAAACAGAAGATTTACTTACTTACTTCCAAAACTTGGAAATTTTTCATGCTGATTCCAGGATTTTAAACACGAATATAACGAGTTTCAGAAATGGATACCAAAAGTTATGACTTCGAAAATTAATACCAGCTCTCTATTTTGGATAGTGCGCAAGAGAGAGAATTTTATGATTGCTTTTCCATCGTCGTATTTGGCTAAACGTAGGTTCATAACTTCTTAAGTTGTAAGAAAACGCACGGAATGCACATCACTGAAATTGATAATTTGTGACTGATGTTAACAAAACTGAAGCCCGACATTAGCGCGTTCTTTAAACTCTACTACCCTCAACCATCTCATTATTTTTTATTTCTAATTGATTTTGTGTTTATTTTTAAATCGTTAATAAACAGTTTTTTACTTTAATTGATGGTCATTTTAATTAAATTTTACTTTGCGATTCTTGATAGATAGACGGACGGATAAAATAGGTATAGATAATATATAAAAATATTTTAATATTTGGTAAAATTAACTTTTATGGAAGAGGAGACGTTACCATTTTTTTTTTCTTGTCAAAGGGACCGGTGGTCAGAAAAGGCTGGGAACCTCTGATCTACACAAAACATTAGAAGGCACTTTGATGATATTAGGCTGCAAACCAGACAACCAGTGACAGATGTTACATTCACCTCCCGCCAATGCTTTCAGAGGCTGCCATGGTGTACATTTAGGAGGTAACAGAGGCTACAACGGAGAATTAACGTCTTCAGTGATGAATCTAGCTTTTACTTTGACACAGCAAAGATTATTGTGATTGGTCAATGTAATAAGTTTAAACGAAGTGCAGCAAAAATGTGTATAATTTAATACGCCATAAAAAAAGTCATGTAGTGTCCACATCCGACTATTTTAAACTGATCGTTACTGAAGACGAGAAGTTAATATTATACAATATTTTAATACGCCATACAAAGAAGTCATGTAGTATGCACATCCAACTTTTTTAAACTGATCGTTATTGACGATGAGAAGTTAATATTATCCAATAATGATGCCAGAAAAAGATCATGGGGTAAGTCAAAAGTACCTCCTTCAGTTGAAGAGACATTACGTTATTTCGAAGTAGGAGACATGAAAAATTAGCAATGCCCCCGCCGGGACTCGAATCTCGCACCTCTCGAATACGCGCCGAGTGTGCTGACCAATCATTACACCACGAAGGCATGTTAAGAAGGCGGGAGTAATACCTTATACAATAACATCGATAGGTGTGGTGCATTCCCCAAAACTAATGCTTTATGCATGGAAGAACTGCAAAAGAAATTATATAGATTATTGCCACATCAGCCACATCAGACAATTAATTCAGTAAAACACTTCCCAGATGCTAGTTTCAAAAGCAGAAATCGAAGCAAATTCTCTAGAATTAACTAATATTCGAGGCGTTATTTTCCCCAGCAATACTCGACTTCACATTTCAATGAATGTCAGATAAAGACTGAGTATGCCAAAGTGTTTTGTGTTACTCTCCGTATGTACCTGACTTTGCCCACTCGGTTTTTCATCGCTTTAAAATTCTCTGATGGGCTTGAAGCACAGTTTTTTTGAAGACTATCAAACAGCATGTCGGTA